TAACAAATACATTGATATTTTACAGAAACTCATTGAACAGTATAATAATTCGGAACACAGTAGTATCAAAATGACTCCAGTGGAAGGTAGTAAGATAGTAAATGAGATTCAAACAAGGCACAATTTGCATGGAAACATTGAATCTTTAAGTAAAAAAACGAAATTTAAAGTTGGTGACAGAGTGCGAATTTCAAAGTATAAAAGAAAAGTGTTTGACAAGGGTTACACGCCCAATTGGACAGAGGAAATTTTTGTTATAGAATCAATCCAGCAAACCGATCCTATTACATATAAGTTGAAAGATCTCAATGATGAATCCATTAAAGGATCATTTAATGAAGCTGAATTGCAGAAAACTAAGCAAAATAAATATCGTATTGAAAGAGTAATTAGGAAAGATAAAAGTAAAGGATTAGCATTGGTTAAATGGAAGGGCTATTCTAAAGATTTTAATTCATGGATTCCTATCGAAGATTTGAATAGTGTTTAATTTGATTTAACAATCGAACACATTCCATTGAAGACTTGCATATTTACTTAGCTCATGCTGTAGATATCAGCAAACAATTTTGATCATTTTTAACTTTCATAAACTAGATCAAATTTTAATAATTTGTTTTAAAGTTCACACTCTGCAGTTATTTTTAAGATGGATGATGAAACAGCACTTCAAGTACTTTTTAAAAAAGAGAATGATGACGAACAAATGGAGATGGATTCTGTTCAATCAATAGACTATGACAGAATTAAAGAAAGCTTTTTTGTTTTTCAAAATATGAACTATTTAGGCACTGACGACACAGACCATATGGTAAAAATCGTAAATGAAGCAATACATGGATACGCGAAGTATTGGATAGATCTGTATGTAAGATGTCTTAAACACAACAATAATGTGTATGTTTCCTTGATGAATAATGATAGTGAAGTTATGAGAAAGCTAGAAACTGCTTTCCCGGAGATAAACACAGATGATATCCCTAAAATACCAGAATATCATTTCTTAATGTGCCTATTGAAAAGACTAAACGAAAAAGAACTAGCAGTGGAAGTCAGGAATCAGAAATTATTAAGGAGTTACATGAGAAGTGGCAACCAGCAACTCATGGTTTAATCAGGACTCTGTCTGATCTAAGTGTGCAACCGAAAACATTAGATGATTGCAAAACGAAAATAGATGAATGTGAACAAAGGATGCAAAGCCTTCCGTTACGGCCGTTATTTGTATGAGGCCAAAGCTGTATTCGCTCTCGAAAAGAAGTACGGTTCAGGAAACTTCAACGAGTGGATAAATTCCAATTGCCATGTGAAGAAGAGTCGTGCACACGAGTACATCAACTTTTATGACAGCTTCGAGAAATATCCCAAGGTTACACAGTGCAATTTGCCTTTTCAATGGTTAACTAAGAACGGAAAAACAGTACTCAGATATTTCAGAAATCATCCTAAAGAGGCCAAGAAATTCAAATGATAGTTTTAACTTAATTATCCTNNAACTGTCCGCATGTCTGGACATTTCTCTGTACGTGTCTGTACGAGGCAAAGAGACTTAAATGATAGTTTTAACTTAATTATCCCTAAACTTGTCCGCATGTCTGGACAAGTTTACTTCTCTGTACGTTAATAGGATTCGAACTAAGACTCTCAATTTCTTTGACCATCCCACAAACCACCACTCTGTAGCCCATCGGTTGTTTGTGGATAGAAATAAAGGACTTATAAACAGTTGCTTGATGTTGCATATCGTCTGTTATTCGCTGTTACAACGTTGAAGCAGGCATGCACAATCTGATCTGAATTTATAGTCTACCTACAGTATGTTTACTCGCTTGCAATGCTTCGCGTAGTGTATTGTTATATATATACGCTGTGCATAATATAAAGTATTACTAATACTTGACCATGTTAAATTATACAATGTTCCACATAGTTTATGACAGTTGTATGTTCCACATAGTTTTGAATGTTCCACATATTTTAGAATGTTCCACATAGTTTTAAATGTTCCACATAGTTTTGAATATTCCACATAGTTTTGAATCCTGATTAGGGAATATGACACAATATTTTGCCTATCAACACTTTTATGAATTCTCTATCTTCACACATAGCTTTAATCTATCCGATCCTATGTTCCACATACTTTACGGTGGTGATATGTTCCACATAGTTTTGAATCTTTCTATCCAAATCTATGCTACATGTTCCACATAGTTTTAAATTTAGATTAGGGATTATCGTACAATATTCACCCAAAATTTGCCTATTTTAATTTTCATCAAATCCTATCTCCCCACTTAGGTTAGGGATTATCGCACAATATTCACCCAAAATTTACCTACCTTAATTCCGATCAAATCCCTATCTAGTGTCCGATTATAACATGTTCCACACATGTAACCCGTAATTTTAATATTTGCCCTCATATAACAGTCGAAAACGGCTAAGATAAACCGGATAAACGAACTTAGTCTATGCAGCAATATAGTATTTTTATTTTCAAGTGTACGCATATATAACCCTACACAGACTATGTTGCGTAACTACATCCCACGTAGGATATGCTAATTATGTTCAACACAGATTGTCGCAATGTTCCACATACTTAGTGAAGAATGTTCCACACAATTGATAAAGAATGTTCCACATAAATTATCAACAGATTAGGCATTATCGCCCAACCATAACCCAAAATTTGCCTACTTGGTTTGTACAAACGACCTATCTAACAGATTAGGCAATATCGTACTAGCTTAACCAAAAAAATTTACCTGCTTATTTTTGATCAAAACCCTATCAAGTGTTCCATTTCTAAATGTTCCACATAATTTATAATGTATGTTCCACATAGATTATAAGCTTTGAAATTACACATAAACATTCCACATCCATCCGAATCTCGTATCTTGCGTGTTCCACACAGTTTATGATTCTAAATGTTCCACATAGTTTATAACTCTAAATGTTCCACATAGTTTCATAATTATTTATGTTCCACATAGTTTTTACTCCTAGCTCTAATATTAGGGAATATCGCACAATATTCACATAAAATTTGCCTACTTGGTTTGTACAAACGACCTATCTAACAGATTAGGCAATATCGTACTAGCTTAACCAAAAAATTTACCTGCTTATTTTTGATCAAAACCCATCAAGTGTTCCATTTCTAAATGTTCCACATAATTTATAATGTATGTTCCACATAGATTATAAACTTCGAAATTACACATAAACATTCCACATCCATCCGAATCTCGTATCTTGCGTGTTCCACATAGTTTATGATTCTAAATGTTCCACATAGTTTATAACTCTAAATGTTCCACATAGTTTGATAATTATTTATATTCCACATAGTTTTTACTCCTAGCTCTAATATTAGGGAATATCGCACAATATTCACATAAAATTTACCTATCATAATTGTCATCAATTCCCTATCATCACACATAGATTAGGGAATATCATACAATCTTTGCATCAAATTTGCCTACTGTAATTCCGATCAAATCCCTATCTAAATAGATTAGGGATTATCGCATAATCATGACACCAAATTTACCTAGCTTAATTCCGATCAAATCCCTATCTAGTGTCCGATTATAACATGTTCCACACATGTAACCCGAA